GAGTTTGACCTCTCGAGCTGCGGCGGTTCGGCTCAATTTCCAAGCTGTTCAAGGCTGCATGCGCGAACTAAGAGCTTTTTCACCCTTCGCCCAACAGCCCGTCCTGTCCTTCCTGAGTCCCAAGGGCATGTGTGCAGTGGACTGCACGTATCCTCTTCCAGACGCATCAGCCGCCAAACACGTAGTGAATGGGCTCGTCACACCCTCCGGAAATCGGGCATTTATGCGTCGGTCACAGCCTCTCTGCGGCCACGAAGCTAGGGCTCGCTGGCCTTTAGGAAGTGTAAGAGGCGACGTTGACGTGGCTCTCCTGCGCTTTCGACGTGTCGAAAGAACTTTAACGGGTGAAGGCTGAAGCGGCTGAAGGTGATGGTCTGTGCTCCGGTTTACACAGCGGTGTTCGATGCGATCGTTTTCTCTGTTGTCGGAATCCAGGTGCCATCACTTTCAGGCTCCGGTGCTTTAGCCGCGAGAACTGATTCCCGCCTCGGTTCCTGCGCTTCATGCATTTGTTGGAGTTCCGGCTCTTCGCCCTGGATCCAGGGCAGGTTCAAAGACCTGCGCCTGCACTGGTGCGCAGAAGTGCTGCGAGGCATCTCCGCGACGCGGTTCTGGTAAAGCGGCTGGTAGAAGAACTGAACGACCTCGGAGGGAGTGAAGAGCGTTTCCCAAAGCCTGCAAAGAGGCTCAGCCTCGCTCTCTCGACTCCCTCTGCCAAGGCGGCCAACGTCGGGTCACACGAGTCGCTTTCCCACTTCAGGTCACAGTTGAAAAGCCCCGGGAGCTCCGATTTAGGGTCCAGGGCTAAGATTTGGCCCCCTATAAATTGAAGTCAAGATTGGTGCTCTTACTGTCCTCAACTCCCCAAACTTCCACCAGTGTCACCGCCTGCCAGCACAGAAACAGCAGATGGGTCAGCCTCAGCGGCAGGTTCAGCGACAGTGCAACCGACAAGAGGAGCCTTAGCCTTGGTGGGTTTAGGTCACAGCCCTTTCGGTTATCTGCACAGATTGTGGTGTCTTCCGTAAGGTGAACCCTTTCCTGCGTTTTCCGATTCAGAGCCCCGAGGCAAGGGGAGTGCTCGAGGGCCCGGGCCCGGATCGGCTTTTGGACATGGCAGTCGCCAGAAGTGGAGAGCGCAATCGGACCTTGCACCCGGTCGCTTCGTGCATGAATGGGTGCAGTGTCACAAGGAGTCTTCCGCGATGTCGGAAGTGACATGCATGCTTGGCCGCCACGAACAAGTAGCTAAACCCGCACGAGTTTGCTAGGTCCCTTTCAGACACTCCGTTTTGCAACAGGCATAACCTTAACAGCCTTCTGAGGCCGAACAGGGAAGAGAGCGGGCATGCACATATCGGTATGCGCATCTCGGGTCTTGCCGTCCACGGCTTCAATGCAACACAGCTGCGATGAGCCCTCTGCAATTCCGAAGAATCATCCGAGGCCGAGCTCGGGCGCCCAAGAAGGACCCTTTTTCCGAGGGGGTTTCGGGTGGAGCTGCAAAGCGACCTGAGGTAGTTGCTCAACCCAGAAGTGGATCGTCGCCAGCATGCATGTTGGGTCTTGAATACCCGGAAGGCACCAAGCATGCCTCATGTGGCATCAGAGCTCAATGCCCAATGTCACCAGCACGAGAACCAGGCCATATCAGCCGTGCTGACGAAGAGAGCAATTTCTTGCGAGGCATTCGTGCCATTTCGTGCCCGCGTCGGGCTGTGTTGAGATAGGTGTGCAGAAGGAGAGCGAAATGGAGCGACCTGCTGGTGCAGTTCAGGCAACTGCAACGAAGACACCTTGCATCCAGACTGATCCGTCTTGATGTGCGATCGGCTCTGGCAATCCTCAGCACACTTTCTCAGTTGCGCGCAAACGGAGCAGCGGATCTGGATTTGTCCAGTCTGGTACCTTGGACGGAATGCAAGTACACCGAAGCAAAGCTCCATGTTTCAAACCTTGCTCTCAACATGCATCAGTCCTGTTTATGGGATTCAAGTGTTCCTGTCAGGGACACGAAATCCCGAATCTCAGGTGGCACGTTGTCACTGTACGCCTCTTCTGACGCCGAACTCGGACACAGCCGTTGAAGACAGTGTTAGACCCTGTTTAAGATCCAAAAAGACTCCGTGTTTGTAGGGAGTGCAGAAAAACTCTTGCAGCGCGCCAAATGCCGTGCCTTTCAACTTCAATGCCTGGCTTCGGGGCTGTAAGGTTCTTGGGAGGCTTAGGTCACAGGCCACAGGTTGAGCTGCGCTTAGAGTTCAATCGGCAATTCGGTGCTGCTCTTTCGCTGGTGCACCTCTTCGCGCCGGTTAGGAAGGCTTTGTTGGTTGACAGGCGTTCGACAACACTTCACGATGCCGGTTTGCGGGAGTTCTACAAAGCTTCGGACCAGGAATGCAAGTGATCCCTCGAGCAACCAGAGAGATTGCACAGGCTGGAGGCGCGCACCTTCTGAATCGCTGTAAGGAAGTTCTAGCTTCTCAAGCTGAGTGCAAACGGTGCAGCCCTGCTACCGCTGTTGTTGAGGATGGCATTAAATTCATTCATGATGGCCATGGTGAAGAAGAGGAGAAACAGGATGATGTGTGCAAGAAGCCAAATCCCCACGTCTAGCATAAGTTCTTTGCATTGGTTTCAAGAACCTGCGCATTGATCTCAGGATCCATTTGGTCTTCCAAGCCTTGAGTGTGGCAGTGCGGATTGAAATTGATTCGATGGTTCGCAACGGTTTCCAACTGTTTGCGGCCGTTCTTGATAATGGGTTTGCAAGTTCTCCGACGGTTCCTGAGAGTTGTCAAAGGGTTCCAAAGCCGTTGTAAGCATACACGTTCACGAAGCAGCAGGAATTCCACAACCTTGCTGTAGACGTGCATCAGGCCGATGTAATGGATCCACCGGCTCGGATGCAATGCCGAATATCAGACGGCACAGAGTGGCCGCACCTCTCTTCTGACATCGAAATCACCCACGAAACAGATGCCGCAGCTTACAGGGAGAGTCCAGACAAGGCTTTACAGCGCCAGAAAATGCTGTGCCTTTCAACTTCAATGCCTGGCTTCGGGGCTGTAAGGTTCTTGGGAGGCTTAGGTCACAGGTTGAGCTGCGCTTAGAGTTCAATCGGCAATCCGCTGCGGCTCTTTCGCTGGTGCACCTCTTCGCGACGGTTAGGAAGGCCTTATCGGTGGACAGGAGTTCTACCAGGCCGCGAAAGCCACGGATGCAAGTGAGCGCTAGAGAAAGAAGCCCCAAGATCGTAAACTCCGGTAAAGGACCTCTCTTTTTGCATGCTCGCAGCCTGCGGTGCAATGAAGGCATCGTCGCTGAGGCCGAGGCCATTCTGTGCATTCTTAGTGACGCATTCCGGAGAGTCGCGTCTCTGAATCTCTGACTCCGTGAAGCGGCGCGTTGCTCTCAGCCGTGCCGATGCCGAATCCCAAGACCTTCTCCGCGCATTTGCGCATGGCCAAGGTCCGAGCAAGACTTCAGTCGCTGAGCTCCCTCGGTCCGTCAAACATCATTGATGGCATGAGTACACTACAACCAGCACCAAGCTGACCCATTGTGGAACTTGTGACGCAGACACAGACTTGATGTCAGTCCGGTCATGTAACCATCAGCCATGATACCTTACGGCTTCGGTTGTCAGTACCTTGGCGGCACCTTGGCCCGTTGACCACCAAGATGCGATGTTACTGTCAACGCGGGCGCTAAAGTCGTTTTCTATCCAATCTGCTGCAAAGGGTGTGTGCTTGCGATGAACCCCGAGGCCATGCTACCGAAGCTTGCATCGTGGCTGCTCACGTCCCACACGGGGAGCTGCTGCAGGGCGCAAACTGCGATGTGCGCAGCCGGAGACGATTCTAGAACTTTCGAAGGCAGTCTGTGGCATGTGCTGCACACCGCCAGTACCACATGTCGGGCACACGGCTGTCATTCGCAGCTTTCACGGCTGGAACTTAGTCATGGGCAAGTGCGTCCCTTGCGCATGCGCCTGGCTTGATTCTGGACCTGAAGTGAAACCAATCATCATCGTAAACATCATGGCGCCGTAATTGGTTTTGAAGCTGCAGCTTTTTGCAGGACGTGCAGCAGGAAAGTGGTCCCGCAGAGCCCGTGTATCGGGCAAACGCGTGGGCAATGCTGCACCCTACAGCGAAAGACTGGCTCCAGTTGGCGGGTGTGGCTCCGCGCATGTTCTGGCGTGTCGAAGTTTTGAATTGCGAGAGTGATGCAGCAATCTCCATCAGTGCCCGTCCACGGCGTCCCTGCGCTTTCTGACGTGCCTGCGGGTGCCGGCGCTTGGCATGAAGACATACGCTGTCCCATCTTGTGGCATCCCACACGACTCATGTAGCCCATGCCGGCCGCGTACAAGCTAAGCTGCAGCAGTGCCCCAACCTTGCGAGTCCGAGTGAGATGGGACGTAAGCTTCCTCCTTGCAGCTCGAGCTCGAGGTGAGTGCACAGCAGGAAAATGTTGGGTTTTGCTGCAGCAAGCTGCTTGCATTTTGAGAGTTCTCATTCTCATTGTTGTTGCGCAGGCCATGCCAGTGAGAGATGGATAGTTTTGAGGAGTCAGTCAGGTTCTTGGTTTCGTCTGTCTGCACGAGTCATTGGAGTTCAGGTCCAGTCCATTCTCTCCATTCGTACTGGAACCTGTCACTCGCATGGGATCTAACATGGGAATTGCAGAGTACTGCTTTAGGCTCGAGGTGACCGCACAGCTTCAAAGCCTCTGTCCAGAGTTTGAAGTGCAGTTTGGGTCTGGTGCAGCTCGCCATGAGAAGGGTTTGACATGGTTTGACTCCTTGACGCTCCGTGGGCTCAACGTGCTGTCATCGCTCAGGTGGCGGAGGACCCTGCGCCAAAAAGACCTTGTTGCATGTCGGGAGGAAGCTTTTGGCCTAGAGGGCATACGGCCTTCGGGCCTTCGGGGACGTGAGGTCTGGGAGTCCGAAAAATTAGCCGCCCAAAGCTGGTACGTTACCGAACGACGCCATGGCGAGCCTGTGCAGCTTCATGCGGCTCTCTGGTCTCTGCGCCTTCCTGGGCTTTCTTGGCCTCGTGGAAGCTTCTACCCCAGAGGCCTCAGAGTGTGAGAGCCCTCGTGCCGTGGAGCTGCTGCAGCTGGACTCGGCTCTGCAGTTCCGAGGGCAAACGGAGCTATCGGCTGTGAACTCTGCTCAGTCGCACAGCGGCACTCGGATAACTGCTAAAACACGTGTGTTTTTTTAATTGTCAAGTTTTCAGTGTTTCCGAGGAACTCGACCTCAACCGCCTCGAGCTCGTACTGGTACCCGGTGCGCGGGGTGGACGCGGGGAGGTCGGGCTACTGCCCAGGCGCCGTGGGGCCTTTTCCACTCCCGGCTCCTGCCTGGTCCTTGGAGGTTCCAGGCCTGAACTTCCATCAGACGGCGATCCCGCCATGTTTGAAGAGCTTTGGGAGAACACGCTGCGAAAGTCTGTGTGCAGAACGGGCGCATCGTGAGAGGGATACTGCTTACGGCATCGGAATGCTAAGAGAGCTGAGATTTTCGATTGTTGCAGGCTTGTTTGTGGTGGGATTATTTCCTGTTTGGGTCCGGCAGTCTGAGGCCTGGAGTTTGGGACAACATGTTGAATCATGCACCATGTCTCATTTTCACCGGGTTTTTCTGATGTGCAAGAAGCGTTTGCCGAAATCGTCTTGCTTTATAGCTTTAGCTAGAGCAAAGTGATAAATTTTAGAGTCAAAGGCATGAGCGTAGCATACACGTGCTTGCAACCGTGTTTGCATCGCACAGCTTGAGCCGGCTGTATGAGAACTGTGACCATGGTGTGAGCCAGCACCACAGAGCGGTTGCTGGCTTCGTTGTAGTTAGGTTCATTTGAGCGTGTACTGTCGGAAAGCTGTTATCCGATGGTGTTCAGGCGAAGGCCTGATGGAAATATCTGCAGGCATCCTTGAGTGATTTGTTACTCGACATCGCACCGCTTGGCGGTGATAGGGTGTAGGTTTGCATGCTGTATGACCGTCACCAGAAGAAGAGACAGACGAACGTCACTTGCTAGGGCTAGGGCCGAAACATTTCCGTGACAGAGTCGAGTTTACTTTACTGGGTGCAACAAGGAGATACGACAAGCATACTTCGTCAGAAGCCGAAGGTAGTGGTGTAGCAGAGCTTTCGGGCCACGGCGAGTCAAGGAAAACCAACTTCCTGCCTGGCTCGCCTGTGTCCCCCTTAGAAACCTGCCAGCCGGTGATCGACGACGTCTTGAACATCTACACCACCAGTGACAACGGGACGATCCTCTCCTTCTCGAAGGACGGCCAGAAGCGCTGGGAATTCCAGCCGAAGAGCATCCGCTGCCAGAACCCTTCGCTGTTTGATGGCAAGCTCTACACTGCTTGTGCTAACGGTCAAGTCGTGGCCCTGAGGATGGACACGGGGGAGGAGGCACGTAAAATCTTGGAGAGAAAAGAAGGGAGAAGGGGCCGGAAGGTCTGAAAGTTGGATCGTTTCGGTCAGCGGCCTTGTGCTGCTGCTGCTGCTCATGCCCATGCCCTCAAGGTGTGGTCGCGTCCGGTGTTCGACGGCTTGCCTACGGACGCCTACACCGTCAGTGCGACAGAGGACTTCCTGGTGATCCCCATGGCGGACCCTCGGATTCATTGGCGTTCTGCCAGAAGCTCTCTGCTGGTGTCGGGAGACATTGCGGCTACTACTTCTTGCTGCTGATGCTGCTAATGCTGCTGCTGCTACAGCCACTGCGGTGCTGCTGGTAGTCCTATAGCTATAGCATACTGCTACCACTGCTGGTGCCACCGCTACTGCTGCCGCTGCTATACTGCAGCTACTGCTGGTGCTACTCCTCAGGATACCGGACTCGACTTTGGCGGAGCCTGGGGCGTGGCACTACTGGATCGTGCAGACGGGCGCCTCCGGTGCCTTGCTGCCCATCGTCGTCGTAGTGGTAGTGGTAGTGGTAGCAGTGGTCGTCGTCGTTGGCGTAGTGGTGGTGGTAGTAGTAGTAGTAGTCGTAGTAGTAGGAGTCATCATATTTATGTGGTTCTTCTGATGTACATTGTGCCTCTGTGCGCAAGAATTCTCAGCCGTAACCCAGAGGTGGAGCTACAACGTTTCGACGATTGCGCCGAAGTCCTACGTCATCAATCTGGATCCATGCATCCTCAACGAGCCCTGGCTTCAACATCACTACTAATTACTGATGATTTTGCAGTCGGCACCATACGGCGATCATCCTGATCTTCCGCTTCCGCCTCATCCTCATCCTTATCACATCATCTTTATCTTTATCCTTATCTGCATCCTCTTCCCGACCCTCATGACCACCATCAGCTTCAGCTTCATCGTATTTCATCGTCATCACCAGAACTGTCATCGGATGCTCTCCTGTCTGGCACAAGGAGCTCCTGCAGTCGTGCTTTGCTGCTTTCGGACCAAAAGCGTGTTCTCACCAAATTTTCGTTTGACCCCGTTCCTCGCGGCGCTGCTCTGGTCGGAAACTACAGTCGGCGCACTTGCTCTCGCCGCAGTACCTCCCACGTTTTGGAGTGGAAATCATGCTCCCGCCAGCTTGGGCCTTTCAGCATTTAGGTTGCTCACAGGCCCAGAAGCCTTGGCAGAGCCTCACTATTCTGCCCTTTGGCAGATGTGGGTTCTTCGCTTGGCTGAGGGTGCTCTCGGACTGCTGTTTCAGCGTTGTTTCCACTTGACGTTCTGAAATGGAGGATGCTTGTTCAAAGCGACCCATACTTCAATACATACCTTCGATGTACACCTCGATACCTGTTATGATGCATTTTTGATAGTTTTTGCTTCAAGCCGCAGGCATGTCCCGTAGCGACCCTGATTTTCCTACTGCGAAAGACCATGGTGCAGTACCACAACATACTGGTACCGCAAGCAAGAGATGAGAACCATCGTGGCGAGTAGGATAGCGACAGCTTCGGTTGTGTGTGTTCATTCTGTTGCCGTCGGTCGTCTGGTTGTTGGTTCATGCTTACCGCTGCTGTTGGCCTTGTTGCTTCAAAAGTCTGTAGTATCATTTTGATTGCCGTTTGTCTTCGATCACTGTTGCTGTGATTGTTGTTGCTACGGCCGCGGAACTGGATGACAGAATACAGGGCCATTCTAGTTTGAACGGGTTTAGTTTACTCACCGAGACCGAAGTAGCCCGTTTCCGATGGGGTTGCAGCCACAAGCCTGGCATCACAGCACTTTCACCTGTCAATGGGCCAATAACTCAAACTGCGTGGTAGGGAGATGCTTGTCTCACTTTCAGCTGAACCCTACTCCTCTAGGCGAACGCCAATCTGCAGTAGCCGTGCGAGCCCTGAGACCTGAATGGAGCTAGTCTTGCTCAGTTCGCGACTGTTTGCTCGGAAGGAATCCATCATCCTCAGTGACACATCTGGGGGTGTCTATCGGCTGAGCGTCGAGGACAGAACTTCTCCGTCTTAAGGAGGTGTCACCTTTGTAGTGCTTGGCCACTTCAATCGTCTAATCTGGTTGCCTCCCTTGTCTCCCTGTGGCTCAGTGCAGGACGGCTCTGAGATTTGGCGCGTCCCGGGTCTCGACGAGGGGACCTTCACACTTGGCGGCTTGGAGGGGGAAGCTGAGGAAGGGTAGACTGGCAGAGCTTGAGAATCTGCTCGGCATTCTTCGGCTTTGTCGGGGTCCAGAGAGCAGAAATGATAGGACAGCTCGACTGCACGTGGCCGGAGAACATGGCAGCGATGATAACGTCCCGGATGCTCTGTGGAGTTTGTTCTGAATAGCGCGGACTCCGTTCGGTCTCTGAGATGGCCCAAACAGCTTGCACCTTTCGTCGCGTAATTAGGTAGCTGAGGAAGTGCAGGCTGTCTTCCGGACACCGGGTGGAAGGTTCGCTGGTGTTGAGAGCAGCTTAGGTGGCGTGGCTTGCGCGGGAGACATGGTCTTCAACGGCTATTCCAGGGCCGATGGATCCGGAGGGCTCCGGGCACTGAGGATGGAAAGCGGGAGCCTGGCCTGGAACCGGGCATTTCCGAAGGTCGTCCACAACGCACCGGCCATAGGAAGGATCTACAATCACGGTGAGTCACCAGCAGTCATTGTGGGGATGGGGGAGCCGCCTGGTCGCCCCTGGCCATTGCCTGCCAACATCACTGGCAAGGTCGTGGCCGTGGATGCAGTCAGCAATCAAGTCATCTGGACCTTCGAACCTCCGCCCTGGCACCACTGGGGCGCTGCTGGGTCCACCTTCGAACAGTTGTGCTTCCCGGACCTTTTCTCCGCGGCAACCATTGATGCTGATGGTGGGCTCCTCAGTCTCTAAAGATGTCAGCATGTGGTGATGAAAGTCACCCCACAACTACAAGCTCCTCACTGTGGGAGGAACCTTCAAACGAGCACATTCACTGGCCATGCATGTGTGCGTCTGCAACCTTCGAAGCATGGGACACAACCTTTGGTCGTCGTTGAAACAGGCACAAAAGCACAGCCTACACACGGCAAAATGTCTCAGACCAGGACAGGTCTTTCGAGCGATCATGGCTTACAACCATGTGGTTGTGTCCTCATGTCAGAGTCAGAGAGCAAGTGTTCCGTTGCCTGTGACAGCTTGACATGGCCTGGGACTGTTTCTTCAAGTTTGAGTTTCAGACATTTGCTGGTGCACATTGTGACGGTGTATCGCATGGCCGGCTTTTCGTTTCGCACGTCCGTGGACATGTAGTATCTTGTCTGTTGGGCGCAGGTCTTGGCTGTCCGCTGTCTCACTACAGGTACGGTCTACATCAACTGGTCCGCTGCGGGCATCACCTATGCTTTGCGAGACGCAAATGCAGATGGCATCATCTCCTTGCAAGATCCGAGAGAAGTCTCAGCCGCGGATCTGGGCTCAGCAGCTACGGGGCCACCTGCCCTGGCGCCTGGCATGATCTTCGTGAACACTTGCCGCCGGCCCAGTGCTTTCTTCTAGAGAAAAAAAAGGATGTACGGCTCTCTTCCGGAAGTGGTGGGCTCGAGTAGTTCAGGGTCTTTCCACTTGCATGAGGGCGTTTGTTTTGGGTGGGCCATGACTCCATGTATATTAAGGTATGTGCGGGGGTCCCATTCCAAGAAGACTGCCTTCTCTTCGATGTTGTGTTGCAGCTGAATCATGTTTCACAGTTCACAGCAATGCCTAGAAATTCCTGCATTGCGTTTTGCATGCATGCAGCTTAGTTTGACTATGATGCAAAGACAGTTCGTGCGCACGGGGTTGCTGTTCCGATGTGTCGGTTCCACTTGCGAGAGTCGAAGCGCATGATGTCCAAGTAGCCACGAACCAATCATCGCTTGGAAGGGGTGCACTTGCCATGAATCCGAAGCCGCATGGCTCCAAAGCCGATGACGACGAACACGGCTACTTGTAATCTGTCTCTGCGTATCACGGAGCTGCGATGTTTGCGCCCTAGAACCATGAGGAAGGTGGGTCAACCCTGCGTGGCCATGGTAGTGAGTCCAAAGTGACCATTCAGTGAGCTTTGTCCGTCGAAGAGATGCCTCTTTCAGCCTGCCGAAACTGCGCTTCCATAAATGCGAGGTCTCAGGGCCAAGGGTTAAGCCGGTTAAGCGGTGCACCGACTTCAGCTGGCTGTTAAACACTCAAACTCAAACATCGGGACGTCCTCCACACCACAAGGGTATGACCTCAGCCAGAAGTCTGAACTGAGCAAGCGTCGGTATCCATTCAAGCACAGCAGCCGTGGCTGGCGATAGCGTGTTTATACATGCGAGATGCCGCATGGCACCCAGAGCACGCACGGCAGACACCACTCTTTGTTTGTGAAAATCTTGGCATCCCGTTTTGCATCCTGGGGACTTTCACGATTGTCTTTTGCTCAGCAAGCCGTGGGTGTTGAATCCTGTTGTCTTTTGCGCGTTCAAAAACAGGGCCATGCCCGGAAGGCAACGTTCCAACTTGGAAGGCGTTGACGATTTGCATTGCAGGAAAAGTAATGATGATGAACAGTAGATCTCGCACTGCTCAGTATCATGAATCGTATGCACCTGTTGCGACAAGTCTGATATGGACCGCTGCCACAGTTCTTCTGCTGCCATACCGTGTATTCTTCCTAGTTTTCAGCAGCCTGGAACTCAGACATGCATTCAGGTACATCCACTGCTGTCTGCGGTGAATGTGTCCGGTCCCAGGCCATGGCATTGCAGTCGCAGTCATTTTCCAGCGCCTTTGCGCTGCCCAACCAGCCCGGCACGAAGCCCAGACAAGAGTGTTTTGCGACGTCTTTTGGAAAGTTGTGTGCGTTGTTTGCGGCATTTTGCGATCAGTCACCTGCTTGTTGCATGCCAGTCGCCGAGGCCAGGGCCATGTACAGTCGCTGCGCGGCAGCAGTCGGGCGCCCAGCATCTCTGGAGTGATGGCCAGCCAAAGAAGCAGACTCGCTTCAGGTGAGGCTCCAGCCTCCGCTCATTCCGCTCCGATGCTGGGCTCTGGAGTGATGGTAGTCAGCGCTGCCGTGGCAGCCGTGGGCATGAAGAAGGCAAAGGCGACAAAGAAGGGCATGCTTCGTGCCTCGCCGGAAGAGATCATGTTCAAGGGCGGCATGGGATCGGTCAGTGGAGGAACCGGCGCGGGATCCTTCACTGCATCGTCGGGATCCTCCTCGTCCAGCTCTAGCTCTTCGTCCGCATCCGTCGCCACGACAGGGCTTGGAGTGCAGGCTCCCGTGGGATTTTGGGACCCCCTTGGTCTGAGCAAGGGTGCCGATGCAGCCACCATGAAGAGGCGTAGGGCCGTGGAGATTAAGCACGGCAGAGTTGCCATGTACGCTACGATGGGATATATCGTCCCAGAGTACTACAAGTTTCCAGGCCGGGCCGTACTGCTTCGTACTGCTGAAGTTGTTGCAGACGCTGTAGCAGAGCATGAGACACATAGAAAGCACGAGCGGTCTTGTAGTGTGGTGGCTGTGAGGATACCTCAGCCCCAGCTTGGGCTTGAAGTTCTCTGACGTCCCCAACGGTTTGGCGGCGATCTCCAAGGTGCCAGCACGGGCCTTAGAGACGTACTTTGCAGTAGTAGGAGGTGGGGACTAGATGTGCGTGCAACTGTGGTGCTGGCGAGTTTACCCCGTGATAACTTCAGAAGATTAGTTGGATGTGAGGTTCTTGGCTGGTTGCAGATTCTCTGGTTCATCGGCCTCGTCGAGGGCTCAGGCTTCTTCTCCGGCAAGTACGGCCTGGGCTTCATGAAGGATGCCACCATGGATGGCACCCCGGGCGACTATGGAGTCGGATTCCCCACCTTCATTGGCAAGGTGTCTGACCCTGCGACCAAGACTACCAAACTTAGTGCAGAATTGGCGAACGGCCGTCTTGCGATGATGGCCATCATTGGCATGTTCTTTCAAGATGGCAACTCATCGGGCGTTTCGGCACGCTTTGCCTGTTGGATGTTCTGGGCTTGTAGTGTTACCGTTACGAAGTTATGACTCTCATGCGCTGGTCCGAAGCTGGCGGTTAAGGTCTGACTGGATCTGCCTGGGGCGACTGGGCTCTGTACACGGATGCTCGGTGCTGGAGAGAGCTTCATTGTCTTGTTTAGCTGGGTATAGAAGACGGCAGGAAGGTGAAAAGCAAAGTCCAAGGATTCCCCTCTCCGTGCCGAAGAGACAGAAGAGAAGGCCCCTCCGCCCTTCGATCCCGCTCAGCAGGCGCGTCCGGGCTCTTTGTCGCAGCCGTTCCGGGAGTATTGATTGACCGGACCCGTCTCAACGTTAGAAAGGAGCGTTTCCTTTTATGTCAGGTTGGCGCTCTGCCGCCGCTAGGCTTCTTCGATCCTGCCGGTTTTAGCAAGGTCGGTGCTAGCCTGAGGCTTTGCAGCCTTTCATCGTGCATCAAGGCTGCTTGGTACGGCCAAGACCTGAGGCGATGAGGTCGGCTTCAAGAACCTGCGGGCTGCCGAGATCAAGCATGGACGGGCACTGGCCTCAGCATTGGAGAATCGAAGAGTTGTGAGCCCGGGCCCTGAAATTAGGTGGCGATGATGGCCGCTCTGGGTGGCGTGGTGCAGCACTACGTGAAGTTCCCCGGCTTCGACTCGGTTCCAGCAGGAATGGGTGCCGTGACCACAGCTCCGGGCACCTACGGCTTCGTGGCCCTCTTCCTGGCCTCAGGCCAGGTTCCAGGTTCCCTCCATCCCTCTGCTGAGTTTGAGAGGCTAGTTATGTACTGGTAGTGTGCAGCAGTGCATAGACTAGACGATTTCTGGGGCAGGGGCGATGGAACTGGCAGTGTGGACAGAGGATCCCAGCAAGGAGGCAGATGCCCGTAGCTTGCACGGAATGCTGGATGTGAACTGAAACGATAAGGCCGGAAACTTCGGTGATCCCGCGGGGCTCGGCCAGTACAACGAGGACCGACTGTTTGCACTCTGGGCCAGAGGGTCTATTTCCATGTGTTTGTCGAGACTTTGTGAAGGAGATGCGAAACAAGGAGCTGAACAATGGACGATTTGCCATGTTTGCTGCGCTCGGGATCATTGCCGCTGATCTCGCCACGGGCAAGGATGCCATGCAGCAGTTTGGCCTCTAGAGCCCAAGCGAGATGCGCTGACGTGCTGACGTTTCACAGGCAAACAGTCTGCCTCACAAAGCTTTCAGGAAACTGTACAGAAGCCCGCCACCGTGCTTGAGGCTTTGTTATTGTTTACACAATATATTAGATTTGTAGACTGCTCGACCTACGCAGCAGTGGACCAGAGTGCCGAGCAAAGACGCTGCCTCCCGTTTAAAAGTGCGATCCCATGCGATCACACTCTTCGCATTTCCTAGCTTTCCAGTTCGGCTCCGTCACGTCAAGGCTTTGCAGCTGTCTGCCAAGGAAGTCGAATGTTCTGCCATGCTCATGCCATGTGCAGTCGATTGATGGTCGGCGAGTTGTTGCTTTACGTGGGTTGTGGAAAGATGCATCAGATGCTAGCTAGGAACTTCTCCGGGCAGTTGAAGCTTGGAGACGTGTCAAGAAAATTCAGAGCGAGCCTAGAGCATCCGAGCTCACTGGCTCGTCATGGATGCATTGGCACTGTTGTCGGAGAACGAAGACGACGACGAGATTGATGACGAGGCTCTGGGGTGCCTGCCTGGTCTTGCGAGCAAGCTGGATGCTGAGGAGCCAGATGCCGAAGGCAGCGGCAGCGAGTCCGAGGCAGGACGCCCCTCGCAAGCGGCCTGGACTCAAGCGTGACAAGCACCGAATCCAACAGGCAAAGCTGGATTTCGGCAGTTTGCAGCGTGCCGCGCTCGGAGTATCGACTCGCCAGTGCGCGCTAGCTTCATGGGCCCATGGGCCCTCACTCGTGTTTGGAAGCAGGGACAAGGCCTTGGCTCGCCCAGCTTCGGAGTGCACTGCCTGAATGTTGCTTCTGGCTCTACTCGTAGCCTGTTGATGCCGGCCCAGTGATTGTGCCGCGCCCGGGCTGCACTAGCAGGGAGGGGATGAAGGCTTCGGTTTGGGCTCTGAAGAGACTCGGTCGTCACGGGGGGGGGGGGGGGGGGC